CCTGCTGGCCACACTATTCCTGATACAGGCCAGGACGCTGTTGGCCTTCTTGGCCACCTGGGCACACTGCCAGCTCCTGTTCAGCCGGCTGTCAACCAGCACCCCCAGGTCCTTTTCCACCGGGCTGCTCTCCAGCCACTCCTCCCCAAGCCTGTAACGTTGCATGGGGTTGTTGTGGCTGAAGTGCAGGACCCAGCACTTGGCCTTATTAAACCTCATACAGTTGGCCTCTGCCCATCGATCCAGCCTGTCCAGATCCCTCTGCAGAGCCCTCCTACCCTCCAGCAGATCAACACTCCCACCCAGCTTGGTGTCATCTGCAAACTTACTGAGGGAGCACTCGATCCCCTCATCCAGATCATCAAGAAAGATATTGAACAAGACTGGCCCCAGAACCGAGCCCTGGGGAGCACCACTTGTGGTCGGCCACCAACTGGATTTAACACCAATCACCACAACTCTCTGGGCTCGGCCATCCAGCCAGTTCTTTACTCAGCCAAGAGTACACCTGTCCAAGCCATAAGCCACCAGTTTCTCCAGGAGAATGCTGTGGGAGACGCTGTCAAAGGCTTTACTAAAGTCCAGGTAGACAACATCCACAGCCTTTCCCTCATCCACTAGGTGGGTCACCTGGTCATAGAATGAAATCAGGTTGGTCAAGCAGGACCTGCCTTTCACAAACCCATGCTGGCTGGGCCTAATCCCCTGCTTGTCCTGCACATGCCCTGTGAGCACCCTCAAGATGAACCTCTCCATAATCTTCCCCAGTACGGAAGTCAGGCGGACAGGCCTGTAGTTCCCAGGATCCTCCTTCTGGCCTTTCCTGTAGATGGGTGTCACATCTTTATCAACGACATAGAGGGATCAAGTGCACCCTCAGCAAGTTTGCAGATGACATCAAGCTGAGTGCTGCTGTTGACACGTGTGAGGGAAGGGATGCCATCCAGAGGGACCTGCACAGGCTCAACGAATGGGCCCACATAAACCCCATGAGGTTCAGCAAGGTCAAGTGCAGGGTCCTGTACCTGGGTCAGGTCAACCCCCGGTATCAGTACAGGCTGGGGGATGAAGGGATTGAGAGCAGCCCTGCCAAGAAGGACTTGGGGGTACTGGTGGATGAAAAGCTGGACATGGCAAGCCTCCAGTCATGTGACACCTCCCCTGTTAACCAGGACCACTGATAAATGATGGAGAGTGGTTTGGCAAGCTCCTCTGCCAGCTCCCTTAGTACTCTTGGGTGGATCCCATTCAGACAGACTTGGGGATATTCCGGTGTCTTAGCAGGTCGTTAACTGCTTCCTCCTGGATTATGGAGAGTTTATTCTGCTTTCCATCCCTGTCTTCCCACTCAGGGAGCGGAATACCCTCAGGATACCTGGTCTGGCTGTTAAAGACTGAGTAATGTAAAAAAGCAGGTGAGCATGAAGCTTATAGTAAACACCTCTTGTCTTCTCTGAGAGGGAGCATCACATCTACATTGTATCTAATTAAAGGTTTGTGTCTTTTCACACTTGATTGAGTCTATCGATGACTGAAGGATTTTCTTCAGAATTTCTGAATGAGGACAAGCACACACAGTGTTAAACTGGGGAGTATTTTAGTACTGGAGATACAGGTTTAGCATGAAAGGGGCATCTCAGTTTTACTATGCATTACTACAAGGTTTCTGGAATGCACTGGAATATACTGGAAGATACTAATGAAGAAAAAAATCTATTAATTAACAGGTGCTGAGAAATTAAAATCTCATTTTCCCCTCAAATGCAGGGTTTGAATAAAGCTAGACCAACTGCTGAACTCATGGACAACAGCACTAATCTTTTTTGTTTTCCTTGAACTTCCATATGCAGATGAGTTTGTTTTCACAGATTAAGCAAATTCAGTGCATGAATGATTGTTGGTAATGGAGGATGCCAATCTTTGTTTCTCCTTAAGCGAAATTCATGCTAAGCAAGTACTGTGAAACTTTCCACCCTCCAGGGTTTCCCTCACTCCCAACACACATATTTCCTCTATTTGTTTCTATTCCCCTCATATATTGCATTCTTCAAAACTATGTTGGAAGGTAATGAATCTCTATTTTCAGTAGCATACATGAGCATTGTACTGGGTTAGACTGTTGTTTTGTTGGGTTTTTTTAAAGTATTTTTTATCTAGACCTTTAATTTCTTAGTGTTGCACCTTCATCAGCTCTAAATCAAATGTTTGCTGAGCATGATGAAACCATGCAGATTTACAGCAGGTGATGGTGACACATTTCCCCACACCCCCAACACACTCAGAAAGCTGGCACTCTCCCCTCCACCACTGGATTTATGGAAAAATATAAATATTTATGGAATCAAAAGAATGTGAGGTGGGAAAGACTGGCCATATCTTGGAGAAGAAAACCTATATATCCCTAAGCAGCAGTAGCTCACAAGAGTTGATGCCTCAGTACTGTGCTGATATTAACCACGTCAGAAATACATATAGGGCCATATACTGTGACATAAGTCATAACAGTGAGATGATATCTACTCCCATGCAAAAGATGGGCCGTTGTCAGCCTGTCATAAACTCTGTCCTCAGGGATAAGTATGGTCAGATCTGCAGGTACCTTATGTAAGTATGAATTTCATATTTTTGAGCTGAGCATGTGATATAGTGGATTTGAGCTGGAGCTTAGGATTCAGACTGTCAATTTACTACCAGCATTGAAAACTTAGTTGTCCAGCTGGTCATTTGTAAATGAACACTTTTTATTTCTGCAGCTGGGAAAAGTCACTTTATTAGCAGCTCAGCAAAGCAGATACACAGCAAATGTCTCTAAGAGGTTTTGTACAGATGTTTCCTACAGCTCTTGACCACTGCCTGTCTCTGTCAAGCACAACCAGCACAGACTCTTTCCTGGTGTACTTTTTTGAAATAGACAAAGCACATGTCCATTCAAAAGGAAAAAGAACCTTTTCTGGGGCAACAAGTCACTGCTCATTTCTCTGGCCAAGTGGTGGGACTTTTGGCAGTAGAAATGCAAAAAACAGCTCGTGAAAAGCACAGCTTGTGGTATTTCTAAGTAATACAAATACAGCCCTGTTCAGAGTCTCATGAGATCTTCCTTAATTCCTTAGCATCTTTGCTAAATGTGGTGATGAACTTCAGTGGCCTCAGGTAAGATAATTAGCATGGCTCCATAGACTTGGTCTTCCAAACTGCAAATCAGTATCTAATGCCCCAAGTCCAAGAGCATCTTCCATCAGGGCTGTTCTGAGATGCTACATAGCTTTGCTGGGACTTCACTTGCAGTGAGCAGTGGGAGCAGCACTGAATGCTTGGAGCCCACTCCCATGCTAATAGGAACCAGCCACTGACACTCCCAGACAGGCCAGAGCCACTGCAGAGGATAAGGTACCTGGACAGTTTAGTTAGAAGCAGTTGTATCAGAGGAACTGAGATAAGCCAGAAATTTCAACTCAGTCATTTGAAACAAGTGGCAGCTTGAAAATTAGAGAGGTGAAGACAATGCTGACAAGAGTTAACTAAGCTGAATTTTCTCATTCTACCTGGCAGATTGCCAAGCCAGCAATGAATGTCCCTGAGAATGCACACTTAATCTTCCTTTAAGGTTAAGTTCCTTCAAATCATTGTCAGCTGCCTTTCTTCCTTTTCCTCTCCCCTATCCTTTCTCTTTCCTATACTTCATGCTGACTTTATAGCCCTCTTGGTACCTGAAATTATTCCTCTTTTTTATTACATTAAGAAGAATCATTTAGAGCCGAAGTGACACAAACAACAATGACCTTTACTTACTGTGCTAAGCTTTCCAAGGTACTTACAGAGATGTTGATTATTTTGTCAAACAGGAACACCTGCGGTCCAACGAAATCAAACACAAAGTACTGTGGAGAAAGGGGACAGCAGGTCAGAATTGTTCTTGTGCTGGTATCCAGCGCTGTCAGCAGCATGGTTTAGCTTTAGCATCACACAGAGCCCCGGTGAGACATTGGGGGTACTGAGGAGATGGTGGTAGACCCAGTCAAACCCTTTCCTTTCTCCCTGGCTCATGTCTTCCATGGCCTAGACCTGTTTTCTACTCTCCTCCTTGCATGGCTGCACAGCATTGCCCTTCGCAAATGCCCATGGCCCTCACTCCACATCAGAGGGTATTGTCAAAAAGGACAGGAGGCACAAGGAAACCCAAAGGACTGGTTGGTTTGGGGAGTTGTTTTGGTCTCATTTGTCACCAGCTGGGACAAACAAATGTCAAGGAAAAGGTGAAAGTGAAACGGTAGAAAAGGGATGTTGGAGGGGCAGTTTAGACAAATGGATCATTTGAAAAAATGCAGAGGCAGTGGTAGTAGGGCAGAATGCGGTGGAGGGGGCAGGAACAGGATGGACAGAGCTTGAGAAGAGAAAGAGCAAGTAGAACTAAACCCAAGGGAGCTATTGCTGGTGCTTGGCCAAGCTTGAAATTCAAACAGCTCCTGGAAGAACTCTGTGCTCAGACATGCATGCAGGTGCCACAAACTCAGTTCATCACCTTTTAAGCTACCAAGTGGTGGAGGCCACCCAGAGCCATTGAAGAAAGTGCCTTCTTCAATAGAAAGCACCTACCTCATTGTAGAAAGGGGCGTTTGTGCCTTCCTTTACTGTTGTTTGCTTCTTCTCGTCACCTATCTCGATGATCACCACAGGGTCAATGTTCTCACCCACCAGCTGCCTGGCCTCGATGATGGTGATGGCAATCTGTGGGGCACAAGGACACCACGCTTACTCCTAGGCTCAGGTCCAGCCTGCCTGGGAATTTCACAGGCACATAAGGACTGTCACCCTTGCTCACCTGGTAGTTCTGGGATTTCATCTCCTCTTCATGAATTCTGGTCACCAGCTTTGCCCTGTTTAAATGGCAAAAACAGGTCATTAGGCATCTCTAGGCAAGAGCTGGTACTTGGACACATGTTGGAAAAACTTCTCATCACTAAGCAAGCATTGTTTATGGCAGGTAGCTTTGCTGTGAACTGTTAGGCTTGATTTCATTAGCAAGAGACCACCTCTGTCTTTCTCATATACTTGGTAACAGGGAAATGTTCTGCATCCACACAGAGCAGTGCAGCTACCTGCCATGCATGGGAATTATTTCAGTTGTTGATCCCAGCAAACCTGAATCCATTCCTCCCCTGTATGAAAAAAGAACAACTACACAAGCTCTTGGCTATAGAGATTGCTGTCCCATTTGGCTCATTTTTATTAGCAGAATTCATTAGCATAGTTAAGGCACTCTCAGCATCCGTTTCAATCTCTCCCTCCACTGGACAGCATCTGGTGACAATCTGTCTTGAGCTGTTAATATTTTGCTGACAAGTACATCCCACACAGTCATGTGGGAGAGCAGAAGTGAAAGGATCACTGCTGTCAGCAAATGGATTTTCTGACAGCAGATGTATTGTTCTACGGCAATGCAATTCCTGAGCAGGATGGAAAAGGTGTTTTGGGGGATATTAGGTAAGGTACATCAAGGAGCACCTTTTCCTCTTTGGGCTTAAGGATCCAAAAACATTGGACAGTGCATCACTGTTCACTAGGTCTTCGTCTTCCTCTTCTTGTCTTCCGAGAGTGTCATGGTGAAGATTTACACTTTCATCATGATCACCTGATGAAGAAAATCAAGAAAGTAAAATCCACCTCTGATTTCTACTAGCAAAAAGCTAACTTCAAGCAGAGCAGTGAATTCATCAGCATGAACTCAACATGTTATTAATTTGAGTATCACAATTAGAGATACAGTAGTAGTTTGTATTGAGCAACATTGATTACAGCAGCAGCTCCCCTCCTGCGCAAAATCATATACTGTATAAATTGTGGCCATAGACGCTCTCTTCACCCCATGCACACCCACAACAGACACATGCACAGTAGTTGCATCTGACTGCCCCATCTCTCATCTGCTAGAAGGACAGTGGGACAGATTATTGCTGGGTTTTGCACATATTACTTTGCAGCAGTTAATCTGCCATATGTGGTTTGTCCTAACAGTTTGACACATTTCAGTCTCTTCCAAACAACCAAAGCATAGCCTAGCTTAAAATAATTTCCCTCCTTTCCTCTTTCAAGAGATGATGAATTGGAAGATCAAGGACACAAAAAGAGAGTTGAAGAGCATGATTCATGGGGATCTCTTAATAAGAGTTATACTCAAATGAGACAAATTGCTTCCAGAAGTGTTTATTTTTCTTCCTTACCATAAAGAGAATCTCAGCAACTATCTCAGAGGTACACATCTACATTTGGCCAGAGGAGCCTTTCCCACACTGCTCTGCTTTGTCCTACTGGTCTGACAGAAGTCCTACCACCACCTCTGACTCTTGTCAAGTATGTCTGTGTTCAACACCTGCCTTGAGAAGCGAGCTGTGAGTTTTAGGTAAAAGTTGAAAATTTGGGTGCCTTAGTTCCTTACAATATTTACATTTATAAGCAAGAAATGTTCAGTGACTCTGGATGTGAGATATTTCTGCTCTAGAAGCTGTCAAGTGGTACCTGCAACAGTAAAGATCACTTGTGCAGCAATATCCCAGAGCTTAGGTGAACTTACAGAATCATAGAATATTTTGGATTGGAAGGGACATTTTAAAGTCATCTAGTCGATGCAATAAGCAGGGACATCTTCAACTCGATCAGGTTGCTCAGAGCCCTGTCCAACCTGACCTGGAATGTTGCCAGGGATGGGACATCTACCACCTCTCTGGGCAACCTGTGCCAGGCTTTCACCACGCTCATCATAAAAAAAATTTCTTCCTTATACCTAGTCTAAATCTACACTCTTCTAGATGAAAACCATTACCACTTGTCTTATTGTAACAGGCCTTGCTAAAAAGTCTGTCCCCATTTTTCTTATAAGCCCCCTTGCAGTACTAGAAGGCTGCAATAATGTCTCCCCGGAGCCTTCTCTTCATGACTCAGCAGAATCACCTACCTCAACCTTCTGGCCATGCTTCTGTTGATGTTCTCATGTCCACCTTTTCATTCACCAGTACCCCCAAGTCTTTCTTGGCAGGGCTGCTCTCGGTCCCTTCAGTCTCCAACATGTATATCGTCCCGCCCTGATACCAGGTGTTGCCCTGACCCAGGTGCAGGACCTTGCACTTGGCCTTGATGAACCTCATGAGGTCCACGTGGGCCCATTCCTTGAGTTTGTCCAGGTCCCTCTGGATGGCATCCCATCCCTCAGGCGTGTCAACTGCACCACTCAGCTTGGTGTCATCTGCAAACTTGCTGAGGGTGCACTTGATCACACTGTCTATGTCATTGATGAAGATATTAAAGAGTACTCATCCCAGTACAGACCCATGAGGGACACCACTTATCACACATCTCTATCTGGACATGAGCCATTGACTGCTCTGGATGCGACGATCCAACCAATTCCTCATCTGCCAAAGAGTCCACCCATCAAATCTGTATCTCTCCAATGTAGAGAGAAGGAGGTTGGCAACGATGAGGTTGCACTAAGAAGCCCAAAGGCAGTCAAAAAGGACTTGAGAGCACTGGGGTAACTGGTCGATGGAGTGGGAGCATAGGTAGTATTTTCATCAGTCCCTTCAGTGACAGGGAAGA